CCTTAATCAATGGAGATCGGTTTTCTCGATCCTGGACATTTATTTTGCACTGTTTCTCAATTAAGACAGATACAATATTTGGATATCCACTAGCACAGGCTAGATGCAAAGGTGTTCTGAATTAATATAATAAAACACAAAGTCAGACATAAGTCTTAGTTTGACAACTTACTTATTGTTCCCAAGATCAAACCAGGTCATAGTTAGCTTATAATGTTCCCCACTATGAAAGTTGGCATTTGTATCTGAGAAGTGAGCACACACACAAAAAGAAACTGTGATTCTCTCAGTTGAGATTGTAAATCTCAATCTAATTTTAAGTTTATTCACTAATTTATGCTTCACAAAGAAGCCTACTCTCTATGGCCTCTCAGACACAAAGCAAACATCAACAAATAATGACAGAATATAATTAGCTCCATTTAAACTTTAGTTTTTCTGCCTTTTCCTCACTTAACATTTTTTAAAGATAATATTATTAAAGTATTGATGTACTGGAAATATGGTGTTGGCAAAGAATACTGAATATACCATGATCTGCCAGGGGAACTAACAAATCTCCCATGGAAGAAATACAGACAGAATACTCCTTAGAAACTAGGAAGGGATGACCTCATCTGATGTACTTTAGATGTGGTATCAGAAAGGGCTAGTTCTTTGAGATGGGCATTTGACCAAGATGATACTTAATGACTACAAGAAATAACTGGAATTTTCCAGGAAAATATGTCTCAAAATAATAAGTACATTCCAAAGAGATCAAACAGCTTCTAGGTAAAAGCTCATACCATACCATTAACCATCCAGCATCTAAAGACATCTGAAACTTTTTTTTTAATAGTAAATCTCTTACATTTTTTTTTACTGTCTTTCTAAGTATTATAAATATCTTTAGAAATTGCTAAATAGAATGGAAAAGTATTGAATCATAGAAATGAAGTTCTAATACATGATAGGACATGGATGAACCTTGAAAATATTCTACCAAGTGAAATAAGTCAGTCACAAAATGAAAAATATTACATAATTCCACATAAAATATCCAGAATAAGCAAAGGCATAAAGGTGGGGGGAACAGGGAATAGAGAATTATTACTTAAACAGTACTGAGTTCCTGCTGATGAAAACACTGGAAATGGGTATTGGTGATGAATCCTGGGTGTTGCTGCCTGTAACTGCACTGGACCACAAAGTCGGTGTGAACCCCAAGGTGGGGGGTTCAATCTCACCAGTGGCTCCAAGGAAATCCTATAGAGGTTTACTATGGGTCGGAACCAACTCATAGGTACTTAAAAACAAAAACAACAGTGGTGATGGTGAATGTAAAGTATTGTCACCAAACTGTACACTTAAAAATGGTTAAGTACTAGTACTTTGCTGATGGGGTAAAGTTTTCCAATGACATTCTCATACGACAACCTTGCTATCGAAGAAATGAGCAAGTGCGTTGTGATGAAAAAAAAAAAAAAAAATCCTTGATTAAACTTTCCTGGCCTTTTTCTCACCAGTACAGTTTCAGATTTTCTGAAAACTTCCTAATATGCCTGATTGTTCTGTGTCCTTTGATAAAATCTACCAAAAAAAAAAGTTTCCAGAACCTTCTGGGCTGACCTCTCTGCTGTGAATTGAGCTAGCCCAGCAGAAGTTCTCAAAAGCCATTAATTATAGGATAAGGACTGGACTGCAAGGTCGATTTGAGCCACAAGGTGGGCGACTCAAACTCACCAGCTGCTCCTCAGAAACCCTATAAGGGTCGCTATGAGCCGGAACCGACTCCACAGCACTTAACAACAACAACAGCAACAAGACTGAGTCAAACTACCTGTATCACCGAGAGAACGTGTCTGCAGCCATCACTAATCAGAGACACGCTGAGACACATTTTCTTTGGATTAATTCCATGCATGTAAGAACCGGAAACCTAGCAGCTCTATTGACTTACCCTCATACTCTAAAAATTAAAAGTTGGACTTTGGAATGTGACCCTATACCAACGGTTACCTGGCAACCTTTCAGCTCTGAGAAACCCGAAGGACAACCAGCGAAGTCCCGCTTCTGGCTGGGGAGAATCCCCCAGTGACCCCTGTTTCCCTCTCCTGCTCTGGTCACCTGTGTTCTTTGTCCCGAATGTTCACATCATGTTTCTTGAGCTGAAGGTACTTCTGCACCTTCTCCAAATCCCCGACTGAGACAGCTTTATGAAGTTTCTTTAAATCTCGAGTTCGCAGGTTGTAGCCGGGTTGAGCCGGACCGATCTGTAGGTCTGAGGCGCAGCTGTGGGACTCAACCTTCCTACGCCAGAAGCTGAAAACCTTCTTTTTCATGGCTGGTGCAGAGAGCTCTTAACAGCCCGCACACCCCTCCATCCAACCACCCAGCTCGTGAACCCGTCCAGCTCTGACATCACCGCAGTCGTAGAGTTGAAACAGGCAGGAGACCGGAAACGGAAGTGCCAAAGAGCGAAAGCATGTAGTACCACGTGCTACATGGGGCTGCACCCTCGGTAGCTCAGCAAAGATCAGGCAGGGCCTCACCGGACTTCATTGTGACCTACCTGGAGCATCCATATTGGCATTCTCACCACAGACTTCCCATTAGATCTTGTGTCTTTGGATGGAAACCTACTAGCTTTCTTAAAAATAACGCCTCCTTCAGGGATAGATTTAATGAAGCTATCAAATTGCGATTACCTTCTCATAGAATTGCGATGCAACTCTTCCTGTGACCTTGTCCTCCAGTCTACCCCCAGCTGCTCTCCTCTGTGGTCACATGCCACAACTTTAACAATCTGAAATTCCTCCATTCTCAATTTCAAGTATACTTTTAAAACTCCATTTTTCCCATATATCCAAATCACTTTCTCTGGTCACAAAATTCCAAAAATCTTCCAACTACCTACACCTACAGTTCATTAATACTACCATCTTTTACTACCTTGACCTCCCTATCCTATGTCCTCACTTCCCAACTTTCCTAGGTTAAATTCTATGGTTGAGCATTGTAATCATTCTCATGCGTTCTTCAGTATTTCTGTACTCCATTCACTATGATGTCAGAAACAACTGGACAGCACTTAACAACAACTCTACCCTACTTGGCTGCATAGTGAAATCTAACCACCTATCCAAAACTTCTCTAACCTAATGGACAACCTCTGAACTTAGGCCCAACAATTGGCACCAGCCGGTTCACACATCCTGGTGTGGCGCTGTGGGTTAATGCGCCAGACTGCAAAAGCGTTTGAACTGCAAGGTTGGCAGTTCAAGCTTACCAGCTGATCCTCGGAATCCCTATACAGGGTCTCTATGGGTCAGAACCGACTCGAGGGCACTTTACAACAACAAGAATTCACACGTCCTGGTGTGGGACTGTAGGATAAGCACTGTATGGCAAGGTCGAGTTGAACTGCAAAGTCAGTGGTTCAAACTTACCATTCAGTCCTCAGAATTAACTTGATGGCACTTAACCATCTTTATAGAAGAGTTTCCATTTCAAAAATTAAGTATTCAAGTTCTATTCATTATTCATTTCGGAATTCTTGTATATCCCTATTTCCCATTTATCCTTCCATACTATAGATAACAAATCTTTTTGTAACTCTAATCACTTTGACCTTAGTTGGCTTTCTCTGTATTTTCTCTACTTTTAGGGCTTTTTTATTTAATGTGGTGATTCATACTACCTCTTACATGAGGGAAAGACATTTTTGTTTCTAATAAACTTATAATGCATGTCCAGAATTTTACTAATGTTTTACATCAAAGAACTTTTCCATGGAATAGTCTTAATTACTTCTTAAGACTTTTCCCACATTAAGCTGGAGTTCATCATGCAGTAATATTAGGATAAATGTTAGCTATTATTAATGTTAAGGAGCTCTGAGAGCATAGTGGTTATGAATCAAGCTGCTAATCTCAAGGTCAGCAATTTGAAACTACCAGCAGTTCTGCGGGAGAAAGATGAGGCTTTCTGCTCTGGTAAAGACCAACTCCACTCTACGGTGCCTAACCACCACCACCATTATTAATGTTGAGAAATTAGTATATGTTAGACAGTGTCCTAACTGCCTATCATTGTATTTAATCTTCAGAATGACCCAGAGAGATGGGCACTATTGTCTCAATTTTATTGCAGCGACCAAAGCATGAGAGAGATTCATTTGCAAAAACTATAAAGCTGCAGCTGACTCCGGAGCCTGTGCCATTCAATGCCGGCCTACACCGACCCTAATTTAACAATTCTCTGAAAATTCTACCTCCCAGTTCTCTGAATTGAAGTGTCTCTAGTTCTTTTCTGCACAATTATGCCATTCTTATAACTTTGTACATGTTGAGAGTGCTAAATATATATTAAAATAAAATTTTAACTTAAAATTTATGTTTATGTTTTCACTTTTAACTCCTATTTTGAGTACTCTCTGACAACTTATAAGAGTTTTCCTCCTTGTAGAGTGCAAGTTAACTATCATATACCAGCTTCCTGACATTATGTGAACTAGACGTTTTGTGCATATTTCCAACTATCAAACAGAAATACATTACGTCCTCACCCTCACACCCCAACACAACAGTCTATTTTAATACATAATACAGTGTGTTTTATTCTCTAAAATTGCCCCCACCACCTACCTCCACACAGTCCTGACTCCTTTTCTTTTATTTTTCAATGTATTTCAAATGCAATGCCAATTTGGTACTGTTTTGAGTATATTTTGTTGTTATTATGTGCTGTCGAGTCGGTTTTTGACTCATAGTGACCCTGTAAAGGGTTTTTGAGAAGCAGCCAGTAAACTTGAACTGCCGACCTTGCAGTTCAAACCAACCTTGCAGTCAAGCTCATTAACTATAGTGCCACATCAGGATACATAGTATTGAGAAAACCAATATACACAGGAGAATGATAACTCCTAAAAACAATAGTTTTACAGTATAATTCAATATTACCCTAATGATAAGAAAGAAGCACAATATCATAGAGATGACAAAACATTGATGTAGGGATAAGGGGATGGGGTTTTGATCCTAGGTGTAGCAGTACTTGATCCATGCCGCCTAAAATATAGAAGGATTTTTTTTTTTTTTTTTTTTACAGGAACATAGCTCAAAAAGATGGAAGAAAAAGAACATAATTTAAAATTAATTAGAAATTTGACTTTTTTTTAATGCTAAACCTAAAAAAAGTCTGAAACATGTTTTATAGAACATTTCTTAACTCCATCTGATACTACTGGTCAGCAGATGGTATACTGTTAACTAATGAGAGAAAAATCTGCTGGTGAATTCCTATTTTGTCTTTTTCCTTAGGGTTATGCAATCTACATAGATTTTATAATGGTTAGGTGCTGTCAAGCTGATTCCAGCTCCTGGCAACCCTGTGTAGAACACGGCACAATCCAACGCCATCTTCATAGTTGTTGCTGTTGCAACCTCTGTGCCAATCCATCCCCTTGAGGGTCTTCCTCTTTGACACTAACCCGCTGCTTTACTAACCATGGTGGTCCTCTCTAGGGACTAGTCCCTACGGATAATATATCCAAAGTACATGAGATGAAGGCTTATCATCCTCACTTCTAAGAACAAATCTTATTCATTCTCATTCATTCTTCTGGTTTTTGTTGTTGTTATGTGCTGTCGACTCAGTTCCAACCCATAGCGACCCTGTATAGAGTTTCTGAGATGAAGCTGGTGAGCTAGAACCACCAACCGTACAGTTCAAATGGCTTTGCAGTCTGGCACATTAACATCCAGCGCCACACCAGGACTGCCAAGTGGATTCGCCTCATAGCGATCCTGTATAGGCCTTATGAGGAGCAGCTGATGGATTTGAACCACAAACCTTGCAGTTAGTGGTCCAATGTTTATTCTTCTGGTATTTCTTGGTACATTGAATATTTTCGCCAACACCATAATTCAAATGTACCAATTTATTGCTGATATTCCTGGTGTGGCACTGTGGGTTAATGCGCTGGACTCAGAATATGCAGTTCGAGTTCACCAATCACTCCTTGGAAACCCTATATGAGGTTACTATGGTTCTGAACCAGCCCCAGGTGTTCTACAACAGCAATTCCTTATTCATTGTCTAGTATTCTCATGCATATGAGGTGATTAAAACTACCATTACTTGGGTCAGGCATACCTCAGTCCTCAAAATGATCTCTTTGCTTTTTAACATTTCAATGAGTTCTTTTTCAACAGATTTGCCCAGTGCAATATATTGTTTGATTTCTTGACTGCTGTTTCCGTGACATTGATTGTGAATCCAAGTTAAATGAAATCCTTGACTACTTCAATATTTTCTCCTATTATCATGATGTTGCCTATTGGTCCAGTTGTGAGGATAACTGTTTTCTTTATGATAAAGTATAATACATTCTGAGGCCCAAGTATTTGACTTCATTAGTAAGTGCTTCAAGTCCTCTTCACTTTCAGCAAGGAAGTTTGTGTCAGCTGGACATTCAGGTTGTTAATTACTCTTTTTTCAGTCTTGATGCCATGTTCTTCTTCATATCATCCAGCTTCTCAGATTATTTAGTCAGCATGCAGATTGAATAAGTATGGTGAAAGGATATAAACCTGGAACATACCTTTCCCAGATTTTAAAGCATTCAATATCCACTTATTCTTTTCCCATGACTGCCTTTTGGTCTATGTACAAAAACACATGAGCACAATTATGTGATTTGGAATTCTCATTCTTCGAAGTGTTCTCCAGAATTTTTTATGATCCACATATGTTACAGGAGTTTTAGATTCGTGGTCGAAGAAACCGAGGCCATTTGGAGAGGTGAAGCAGAGTTTCAGACTTTATTAAGGCGCTGACTCAGAGGAGCTAATTTCTCCAGATTCTGAGCCCTGAATGGAGGGCAACATGGGACTATATGGGGTCAAAGTTGGGGAGGGGCCATGCTGCATACCTGTTTGAGGGCAGGGGGAAATCAGGGGGATTGGTCCCATTTGGTGACGTGATTAGCATTTTAGCTTGCCTCCTGGGTGGAGAGGGCAGTGAATGATTTTTACCTTTGCCTGTTCATTCCCCCCTTTGATGCCATTTGGGACCCTTTTCCTGGGGCATCATCTTTGTAAGGAATGGTATTTTAGTATTGTTTTAGATTGTTGGTACTCTTTTCAATTGGTTATTGTTTAATGGCAGTTCTCATGGCCCTGATTGCTAGTGGGAGTAGGCATGGACTGATTAAGTAAATTCCAAATAAAATAGGACTCCACCCACAGGGTCTTGAACCCTTTAAAGGTAGAGAATTACCCTCCCCATAGGCTCTGTGGGTTCCACCCATTCCAGGTTGGCACAGTGACATAGACAACTT